ATCTAGGTTGGACATTAGGAAAAAGTTCCTAACTGTCAGGGTGGTTAAACACTAGAATAAATTGCCTAGGGAGGTTGTGGAATCTCCATCTCTGGAGATATTTAAGAGTAGGTTAGATAAATGTCTATTAGGGATGGTCTAGACAGTATTTGGTCCTGCCATGCGGGCAGGGGACTGGACTCGATGACCTATCCTCCATGAACTAATCTAATTCTTTTTGGAACCCTGTTACAGTTTTGCCATTCACAACGTTCCCTGGAAATTAGTTCCACAGGTTGACTGTCCTTTGTATGAAGAAGTACTTCCTTTTGTTTTAAACCTGCTGCCTATTAATTTCATTGGGTGACCGTTTTTTTTTTATTATGTAAAGGAGTAAATAACACTTCCTTATTCACTTCCACCTTATTCACTTCCTTGTTCACTATTTTCTAGACCTCTGTCATGGCTCTCCTTAGTCGTCTCTTTTCCAAGCTGAAAAGTCCCAGTCTTTTTAATAAACAGGAGTACTTGTGGCACCTTGGAGACTAACAAATTTATTAGAGCATAAGCTTTCGTGGGCTACTGCCCACTTCTTCGGATGCTAACACAGCTGCTACCCTGAAACCAGTCTTTTTAATCTTTTAATCGCACATGGAAGCTGTTCCATACCTTAATCATTTTTGTTGCCCTTCTCTGTACCTTTTAAAATTCTAATAAACCTTTTTTGAGATGTGGTGACCAGAACTGCACGCAGTATTCAAGGTGTGGGCGTACCATGGAAATATATAGTGGCACAATGATATTGTGTGTCTTATTATCGATCCCTTTCCTAATGGTTCCTAACATTCTGTTCGCTTTTTTGACTGCCACTGCACATTGAGTGGATGTTTTCAGAGAACTATCCACAGTGACTCCAAGATCTTTCTTGAGTGGTAACAGCTAATTTAGCCCCCATCATTGTATCTGTAGAGTTGGGATTATGTTTTCCAATGTGCATTACTTTGCATGTATCAACATTAAATTTCATCTGCCAATTGGTTGCCCAGTGTGACGTTATTGACATAATCTGTAACTGTATAGATCACTGTTGCGACCACTGTTATATATTTGCAGCAAATATTGTATAAAGATTGTCGTGTAAGAGGTCTATGGAGAGGTTATGGTTGGCTGATCAGCTATACAATTGACCCATTGAGAGAAGGCAGATACACCTTGTAACTCAGCAAAGTATGCAGGGACTGGCCCATGTGACTCCAGACTCCATTTTGCTGTAATTTTCCACAGTGAGAACAAAGAGGTGTTCTTACACCTGGAAAAGACTATATGAGGCTGATGCCTCATCTCCATCTACGCAAAAGAATGAATGGACACAAATCTGACATCAGGAATCATAACATTCAAAAACCAGTAGGAGAACACTTTAACCTGTCTGGTCATTCAATGACAGACCTGAGGGTGGCAATTTTGCAACAGAAAAGCTTCAAAAACAGACACCAACGAGAAACTGCTGAGCTGGAATTGATATGCAAACTAGATACAATCAACTTACGCTTAAATAGGGACTGGGAATGGCTGAGCCATTACAAACATCCGAAGAAGTAGGCTGTAGTCCACGAAAGCTTATGCTCTAATAAATTTGTTAGTCTCTAAGGTGCCACAAGTACTCCTGTTCTTTTTAAAAGTACTCCTGTTCTTTTTAATAAAGATTGGTGAGACGTGCTTTCCCTTTACAAAAGCAGTGTTGACTCTTCCCCAACAGATTGTATTCATCTATGTGTCTGATAATTCTGTTCTTTACTCTAGTTTCAACCAATATGGGTCTAGTTGTCTCAAGTTAAGCAAAATAATTTGAAAATTTTGGCCCTGGTTTGCAATCCTGAGGAGGTCTTTGATGCGTGCAAAAGACACTACACAGTATCAAATCAGTAACAATGAAAAAATGAAAAGATTCTGAATAATGCTACTAAAAAACAAGTAATGAAAATGCAACTTACTAATTGATCCCTAGATTTAGGGCAGGGAAGGAATTTCCCCAGGGCCGGTTGGCAGTTCGCCTCCCTCTGCAGCCTGGGGCCTGGGTCACTCGCTGGTTTGAACTAGTGTGAATGGTGGAGTCTCTGTCACAGGAACTCTTTAAACCATGATTTGAGGCCGTCAGTGACTCAGCCGGAGGCTCTGGGCCTATCACAGGAGTGGGTGGGTGCGGTTCTGTGGCCTGCCATGTGTAGGAGGTCAGACAAGATGATCACGATTGGCCCATCTGGCCCTAAAGTCTCTTGAGTCCAAGGGCTGTGGGTGCAGGCAACAAATCCATCCAGCGAGGCACCCGCCCAGGCAGAGATTTAATGAGAGCCGAAATGCCCTTAGCTGGTCTCTCCTCCCTGCCTGCATGCCCCAGTGCTGGGGGCTGAGAGGGGGCGGGAGGAGAAGCCAGGGAAGAGGATTTTCTTTTCAAGCTCTTAATGGAAAAGTGTCCAGCTGACCGGCCTCAAACTGCACCCCCTGCCCTGAAGCTCCTCCCATGGGCCCGGTACAGACACCTTCCCCATCCTCTGGATGAAGGGCTGGCCCCAGGCAGTGCGGGGTTGCCAGACTTGGCCTGGTCTCCCGTCTCTGAGAGCGCCAGCACCTCACAGGAAGGGGCAAGACCCCTCGTGCCTTGCACATGCTGAACCCAGTGCTGTGCCCCAGATGCTGCCCCATCTCCTGCACAGCTCACCCAGCCGCCCCGCACGCTGGCACTGGCGGAGGACACACGCGAGAGAAGCGGGACCGCAAAGATAGGGTTACTATACGTCCGGTTTTTCCCGGACATGTCCGGCTTTTGGTAATCAACCCCCCGTCCGCGGGGAATTGCCAAAAAGCCGAACATGTCCAGGAAAAATACTCCCTGGCTTCCCTTAGAGCGGGCGCCGGGGGGTGCCGTGCTCCCTGACCCCCAGGCTCTGTAGGAGCCGGGGTGCCCGAGCGACAGTGGCATT